TTCCAAATCCAAATTTCGAATTTTTAATCTCGAATTTCATTTTCGTGTTGGGAACTTATACTTGCTTCTCATAGAGGTGCACATGAAACGAATTTCGAATTTCAATTTTCAAATTTTTCGAACTTGAAAAAAAAATCAAAAAAATCAAAAAATGGTGTTCAACACTCGCGGGGAAACAGCTTTGGGGCTCGTGTGATTATATCACCCGCCTTTGACTCGTGCTATTAATCTTCGATGAGTCCGAACAAGCTTTCCCGCCATCGTATCTAAATACTCGAAAATAACTACAGAAAAAAATATCGATTGAATAATGCCGACGATTATTTATTTTGGCACTTGTAATACATTTTTAGATCCAGTATTTCTGCTCCATTTTTCCTAGAAATATAACCTCCCATATAATCCAATTTTTTCGGTAATGAACATCCAGTGACTCAATCTGAGGTTATATCTTTCCGGAAATGTTTTTTTTTTAACATCAATGAAAAAATTTTTAAAGCCATCGTAAATTTCAATCTAAAATTCTTATCTGACAAACATAGCCTACGTTGACAAAATGCAGTGTTCTGAGCACTTGGCCAAATATTTTAACGCTTAAAAAAGTAAAATACACATTTCTGATATTTTCTATCATAGTTCACTAGTCACAGCATATTAATAGCTATTTTTTTCTGAATCACAGTGCAATGTCATGTAACATTGGATATTTATCTAGTAAATATACTACTTTGTACTGCATACTTGTACTGCGAGTGAATTGAACTCGTTTCTTTCCTGATGATTCAATAATATGAGGAATGCGGACTTTTCCAGGTGAAAACATATTTCCACATATCAGCAGTTAGAGAAAATGTGTGGTTGCCAATATGAATCACTGTGTTACTTTTTTTTTGGCAACCTTTCATTATAATGTTTCATCTGTATCAACTTGAGAGAGAATATGTAATTGAAACTAAAGAAATGGAAAACATGTATGTCGAATGGTAAAAAAATGTTCTGAAATTTTTACGGAAACTCTCACGACTTTGAGGAAAATTCAATTTAATGAGTTTTCCTCAATTTATGCTTATAGTCGTTTTTTATGGAGAACTGAGTACAAACTTTGTAAATATCACACATTTGCGTATTTTTTGATTATCACATATTCTTTTTGTGATACTTTACACCCAAATTGAGTTTATTTAAAGAAAATGTATGATACGCCAATGAAAATCATTACGGTTCTTTTTTTTTACTTTTTTTTTATCCACAAACTGAAAAAATGAGAAACAAAACGAGAAGTCATCTTTTTCATCTTACTCATATTGAGTCTTTTATATAATCTTTTATCATATAGCGAGAAAAAAAAAGAAAATATCGTATTGTCAAAAATCTAAAAATTATACTTGGAAATAAAAGGACAAAACATAAATACTGGAATATATTGGAATATTTTGGTAAAAACTCAATTCTATAAAATAATTTCAAATATGTCAAACATAATATTGCAAATCCAGTATTTAACTAGGCATGGCGAATACCAACAGCAAAAGTATTGTGATAATCTTATATTTCTTGTCTTATCGTAATTATTAATATTATTAATATTAATCTTTGATAATATTATCAGCCTTTCCTCTACAGTCATTTGCAAAGGTTATGCAAAAACGAACTTCTATGGTTTAAAAGCTTACTGATCAGATGATCTAGTCAAGCTAGCTTTCCTATTACTCGCCCATGCACGAACTTGGTCAACCGTCCGTTCCACTTCTGGATGGTTAGCTAAGAACTCTCTTAGCTGCTTTGTTGATGGTAGCTTATTCTTCCCAATCATTGTTAAGAAGGCATTATCTGCGGCTGCATGTTCTTCTTGAGTCCAACGTTTTCTGGATATTTTAGTCGACTCTGTAAATGAAGAAATATTATTTTTCTAGTCAATTCAATTTTATTCCAATCTATTTATTCTTCAAAATTTACAAAAATTTGGGCTTATCCACAAAAAGGTAATTTGTTTCTTACTGTTTTTTGCTTGCATTGATTCGACATTATCAGATTGATCATCATCAGAAAGATCAGATTCGAATACTTGGATTCGCTTACGTTTCTTCCCTCTCGATGGTTTTGTCATTTTTGGCGCTACTAGAAATTAGAGAATAAATTAAAATAGTCCATAACATTTATGAGAGAATTATTTGATTCAATTTACTATAATTGGGGGTTTGTCTATGGTACATTCAAATCATTTTGAAGGATGAAATATTGACATATAATACCCCAAGAGCTTCAGAATTATTGATCATTTCATTTAACATTTAATACAATTTTGATAATTTTAAAATTCACAATTGTCCTGGAATTTGTTCCATCTATGAAGCCATTGCTATCATAAAATCCCCATTCAAAAATTTTCACTATTCGATTTGATTTGAAGATTCTCCTAGTAATATCTTTACCTACCAGCTCCTATCATAATTTTTTACGTACCCAACTGAACACGTGCTTTGTTAGACTTTGACGTCACTGAAGGAGTAATACTTTCGGTACTTCCTGAGTTACTATCTTCTCCGTCACTTATTATCCTGCGTCTTTTCCCCATTTTTCGCGATGCGGTCTTATTAGCTTCGGGGGCTGCAGACGAACATCCTTCGCTTTCGTCATCATTCTGAGTTGCCTGATTAATAACATCTTCTTCCTTTTCATTTTCTTCTGCAGAACTATCATCCTTGTCATCCCCAAGTGCATTTCGAAGCATGTTAGCAACTTTCACAATATCTCTCGTAACGACAGACTGTCGATAGTGAGACATGTGAATTTCTTTTGCATGTCCCATGAATTTAGTCAGATCAACAATTTCCTTTTCATTCAAGTTTTTACTGGCACAAAATGTCGCAAGCTGTTTCCGCAGAAGAGTTCCTCGTAATCTTTCTGGATGCTCTGCCCCGCAAGCTTTTGAAAAATCTCGCATCAAATCACAAGCACTAAGATACTTGTAACGTCCATCTTCAAACCCATGTATGCCAAAGACAAAAGTATTAAGTTTAGGGATTTTGGCAGCAGCACGATAATGTAGTAACGAGGTCAAACATTCCTGCATTTTAGTGTCTAGTAAAACGGGGACATCGTTACCAAGCTTCCCCGTAATCATGAAGCGTACATATTGTCGAACAGTATTTTTCTGGGTTCCAGAAAGAGCGCGATAAACTTCAGAATTTGTATTCTCATCAATTCGTTCACAATTTTTTGCATCTGCAATGGATATTCGTGACAATTCGCCTGTCCTCCGCCGATTGAAAATCTGAATACTGACAAGTAATGTTTGCGCCAATTCCAACCATTTGCCGTAGGAAAACCCATCCTGGAGGGCATCATAAGCCATGTTTCTTCTTTTGGTTACATAGTCTTGTAATTTTTTAATATCTTCCATACTTGGCAGTGGTTTTTTCATCTGTCTCTTCTTCTTTTTCTGAGTCTCCAAAGCTACACGATTTATTTTTTTCCCGTACTCTTTTTTATGATTGAATAAGTAATCTTCTACCTCTTGTTGCATAACTCTGTCCTTTTTCTTCCTAAGTTCAATCAAATAGAACTCTCCAACTGCTCTCACGTAAGTCCCCAAAGAAGTAACAATAGATGGAGTCTTATGTTCACCAGTTTCAGCGCTGAAACCCGCTAGATTGTTCACAGCCCGTAGCATACAGTCAAACAATTCCGAATTAAAAATTGATGCGAGATCGGTTATTTTCGGTTCTTCATTCAATCTACATCTGATCATTTCTCTTAACAAACCTCCTATTGATCTCAACCGATTTCGTATCATTTGCTCATGTCGCAATTCATTATACGTGAAGCATAAATCATTTCCAAAGGGTATCAAGAGCGGGTCATATCTAATTGCCAGAACTGTGTCATCTTCTCGGAGTACAGAAAAGATTTTCCTGAGTCTTGTACTTGCTGATTCGTGCAATCTTCCTTCAATGAATCTAGATAATATTTTGTTACATGGAGTGCCCTTCACAGACGGTCCCTTGCACTGCTGAATATGTCGCCTGATACTGCCTTTACTCAATTTAGCTTTGCAATTCCAGCATGATTCGTATTCCCGATCTGACCTTTCTTCTTGTGGTCTTCTGGAAACGATAATTGTTCCCTTATTATATTGAGGATCCGTGTTGTAAATGTGGTTTCCAGCTTTTATTATTGTATCGATCATTTTCTTTCGTTCAGGATTACCTGAAAGCAGATATACAATTTTTCAGACGAATAAATATTATACTGTACTTCAAATAGTGTGATTTCACTTCATAGTTGGACCAAAACTTCGTTTTCTTCAAAATAAAATTAATTATCTCTTGTTTTCATTAAAAAATCAACAATTTAACAATGAAAATCCTAGAATCCCGTGAATTGAAACTAAAGAAATGAAAAGAAGTAAATAAAAAGAAGTCTTTGGCAAAAAAAGTTTTGGTTAGGTTCAATTCTTTTACCTTTTGTAAGAAGTGCAATTTTTTTAATCTCGTCTTCTGATCGATGTTTACTTTCCAAATGTCTACTGATATTTGTTTGCAGTTTCTTGCATTAGAAACAACAGTTTTGCTTGCATTTAGTGTGTTTTGCCTCTGCTACAAGGTCACAATCATCAATTGCATTTAAGATCGCTGGGGAAAGGTCTGAAGCCTTGTTTGATATTTCTGATAAGTTTTGTGTTGTGGTAGAATCTTCGGTGCACTGAGTCTCCGTTTCCAAGCTTGAATTTCCAGCTGAATAATGATTTCTCATTTCTTCTGATATATCGAAATCTTTATCAGCTGAAGACGATTCTGCAGAAATGCTTACTTCAGGTAATTCAGAAGAAGATAAAACTGCAGATATTTTTGTAGAGTGAAAAACACCTCTCGCTGATAATACATCAGCGTTACTTATAGCCTCTTCTTCTGTGAAACTCAACTCATAATCATTGCTTAACATATGCATGTCTTTCGGACTAATAAATTTTGTACTGTCTACATCGAAAGTCTCGTTGATCAATCCCGATTCNTCTGATAAGTTTTGTGTTGTGGTAGAATCTTCGGTGCACTGAGTCTCCGTTTCCAAGCTTGAATTTCCAGCTGAATGATTTCTCATTTCTTCTGATATATCGAAATCTTTATCAGCTCGAGACGATTCTGCAGAAATGCTTACTTCAGGTAATTCAGAAGAAGATAAAACTTCAGATGTTTTTGTAGAGTGAAAAACACCTCTCGCTGATAATACATCAGCGTTACTTATAGCCTCTTCTTCTGTGAAACTCAACTCATAATCATTGTTTAACATATGCATGTCTTTCGGATTAATAAATTTTGTACTGTCTACATCGAAAGTCTCGTTGATCAATCCCGATTCCAACCTCATCTCTTCAGTACTATAATTTAACTCGGGATCATCGAATTGAGAGAATATCTCTTCAAACGTCTCCGCATTTTCAACTCGGGTGTCAATATTTGTGTTCAGGTTCCAGCCATTCCATTGAGATTCTATTACTGCTACTAATGGAATACTATCATCCTTCTCCAGGAATTCTGTTACTGTTCCTGAAGCAAGACGAGAGTAATTAATTACGATACAAGTATTACGTGAAATTGTATTTGTGTGAGCACTTGCACGTAGAAACAATAATTATGTTGAAACGAAAAGACAAGTTGGAAGTATATCAAATGCAACGCTTTAAGAACAACAGTACAAGTACAACAGTTTGAAACTACTGTCAAACTATCAATTTTTGAATACCAAGCGCGGAACTCGCAAAAATATATTTTCTACATTTTCCACTCAATTTATCAAATATAGACGGAAAAAATTCGATTTAAAAAGTCATTCAAACAAATGTCTTCTGTTTTCACCCATTATACTTGTACTTATTATTTGAACTGATTCATTGTCCAAAAATCGATTAATTGAGCAGAAAATTATATTATAAACTGACAGATGATAATAATCACGAAAACTAAAGCAATTCACCTATTTTTGAGTTCTCGGTATCCACATTCTCTTCTTTTTCGTAATTTTCGGTCTCAGCCAGGCCATTATCAATAGTGAGTTCACAAATAGTTTGGCTTGATACAAGTACAGGAGGGTCAGGTGTTGAGTTGATTTGATTATGAGGATGAGTATTCAGAGTAGCTCTTTTGAATTCATCGGGTTCCGGAGTAGATGAAATCATATTGTTGCTCTTGGGCATCGAAGATCCACTCAGCTCTAGCTCATTCTCCGCACTTTGTGATGACTTTGTCTCTTTTTCAATTTCTAAAAATGAAAAAAATTCTGTGAACTTCACAAAGAGCTAAGACATATTACCCATAATTTCCCATTTCATTCATACTTTTTTAAAGAATCTATCTACCGGTAATATGCTTTTATATTATGATCAATTGGTTTCAGATTTATGGGTAGATTAACGTGTTGAGAATTGACGAAAAAAGTTCAACAAAACTATAGCACTCAAAATAAATTAAATATCAGCTTCAAGTTCAATAAATAATCCAAAGAATTATGAAAATTTACCGGTTTCTGAATTCTCGGTGTCCAAATTCTTTTGTAGTTCTAATCCTTCAGTCTTGCTCTGATCGACATTAACCCTGTTCACGGGTTTTTGAGTTTCTGTGAAAACCAAATTTGAATTTACTTTCACATGTATCACACTGATAGCTCATCAATATTTGTGGGAAATAACCCTGAACTGTTACGCAAACAAATGAACATGTGAGAATATGTGAGAAAAAAAATGGAATATGTTAGAATTTGTAATGAAATAAATGGAGAAATCTCGCTACTGAATAGAACTTCAATGGAAGAATATCCTTCCCATTGGGAAGATCATAATTCAATCGGTATCAAATAATTTGAATAAAAGATGTCATCATTTGTTGTTGAACGTAAATGACTTGAAGAAACGTAAATAGTATAATAAAATATCTGAGATTGGAAAAGATTGTTTCTAATGATCACTCAACATAAATTTGAGATCCGCAAATGCTTCTTCCCATAAATTATGGAAAAATCAGTAAAAATTGCAAAATAAAAATGAAACCTTGAACACACTGCAAATGTCACAAAAATTATCGATTAAAAAATCAAAAATAACTATTTTCATATTTTAGTGCCAAAGAATGCTGGTTTGCAATCGAGAATTAGAGATGAAAAGTTCAACAAAATAAATCTTCAAAATAAGTTAAAAATCTCTGGTGGATCTGATAAATGATCTCATAAATTGTAAAAATTTACCAGTTTTTGAATTCTCAGTATCCAAATGCTCTTTTTCAAGTTCATTAGTCTCTGCCTGACCGTCTTCAATAGTGGGCACCGACAAAATTTCACTAGTCTCAGCTACAGTAGTATCAGGTATTGACTTGATTTGGTTATCAGGATGAGTGCTCAAATTCGTTTTCTCGAATTCATCCTTTTTCGAACTACATGGAATCATATCATCGCTTCTTGGAATTTGAGGTTCTCTCAATTTTAGTTCATCCAGCGAACTTTGTGATGACTCTGTTTCTTTTTCAAATTCTAAAAAGAACAAAATTCGGTGAACTTTACAAGACAGGGCTGAGGACAATTAACATCAGGCTGTTCACGAACTTTAGTGACCGACTGTACATCATATCGATCAACTGAAAAATTTGACGACAAGGATTCGGTTGATTAATTTTTTCCAATATCAGTCAGTACCTGACACAAAATCTCTGAAATTTTCAATCTCTAACATTCGTAGATAAAAAAAGTGACAATTTTTTTTTTCAATTTCCAAGGTTTCTTTTTACGTTTTCGAACTGAATTCGAAAAACTCTCTTACTTACGCTTCTAATTGCGGTTCGAAAAATAATGATTGGAAAGAATATTATACAAGAGCTGAAAATTTTAATTTGTCAGAGCTGAATATTATATAGGAGCTGAAAATTTTAGGCATTTTGTTTTTAGGTCATTCATGTTTAAGGGGAGATCCCGGTGAAATTTAAAAGTCTTTAGGGGACCTAGGGACTTATTGAGCGACTTCAGTTATATGATGCGGCATCTTAAAAAGTGGAAAAAACTCCGAACCCAATCGGTTTTGCCCCGTACTTCCACGGAAAACTTCGTTTTTGACGTTTTTGACTAAAGTCGCTCAATAAGGCCCTACGCCCACTAAAGACTTTTAAATTTTACCGGAGCTCCCCTTAAGAAAAAAAAATCGCTAACCAAACACCTGACCTCGCATTTTTTAAGTGACCAGTTTGACGTAAGTCTGTTCATACGGATTCTCTAGAATTAAATATGAGCTAAAATTATTACCATCAATACTTATTGATTCCTGTGATAATAGATCATCAGGTACTTTTTGAGCATTTTTTTTATGATCAAAATGACTGCCAGCAGTCTGATCTGTTAACTGGGTCTCACAAATTAACTCAGCTTCCACCTCCAAATCCCCTTTTGATCGATCAGGTTCAGAAAAAGATTCTGTATTACGTGGTCCAAGTGGTGATTTTTGGGATTCTGCGGAAATCAAATTTGAATGAACGTTCATGATAGAAATTGCAAAATAAAAATGAAACCTTGACCACAGTACAAATGTCACAAAAATTATCGATTAAAAAATCCATAATAAATATTTTCATATTTTACTCCTAAAAAATGCTGCTTCGCAATGGAGAATTAGAAATGAACAGCTCAATAAAATAAAACTTCAAAATGAATTAAAAATCTCTTGTGGATCTGATGAATAATCTCATAAATCTCATAAATTGTAAAAAAATTACCAGTTTTTGAATTCTCAGTATCCAAATGCTCTTTTTCATATTCTTCAGTCTCAGCCTGACCGTCTTCGATGGTGAGTACAGAAATAGTTTGGCTTGATACAAGTACAGGATGGTCAGGTGTCCAGTCGATTTGATTATGAGGATGAGTGTTCAGACTAGCTTTTTTTAATTCATCGGGTTCCGGAGTAGATGGAATCATATTGTTGCTCTCGGAAATCTGATGCTGCCGAGCGCGAAGGATCCAAGACCAGCCTTGAGTACACCAGGAGTGTACGAGATCCCTTGCTCATGCGGGAAAGTGTACATTGGAGAAACCGGGAGGAAGATCAGTACACGGATCAAAGAACACCAGCGGTGCTCCAAATACGGTCACTTAGAACAGTCTGCCCTGGCTGAACATTGGATGGATACTGGACATACTATCCACTACGACCAAGCCAAAATGCTGGCCAAGTCTCAAGGGTATTTCGAAAGGAAATACCGAGAGGGTTTGGAGATCCATAAAAACCCTAACAACCTCAACAGGGACAGAGGATATCAAGTGAACCCCATTTGGAAAACCGTCCTCCCGGTTTTTTAATTGACCAGCTGATCAATTAAAAACATATGATTGGCTGACTTCCCCCCCCCTTCCCCTTCCCCCACCACCACAAGGGAAGGTATATAAGGACTGCCCCCACACATCGGAGCTCAGAATCGGAGCTCATAGCCCTGAAGATGCAGACTGCAATGTTTGCGAAACGTCGGCGCAATGCTGAAACTCAACGCGGCATCCATCCGGAAGCCAACCACGTCATTAATAATGGCCGCGAAAGCCTCAAAACTAAGATTAAACGCCTCCACGGAGAGGCTATTCTTGGGTCGGTGAATTCATTCACCAAACTTAGGAAGTCCTTGCACGTCCAACTGTGCTCCCTAACTTTTTTGAAAAGGTGCCGTGACCATCAAGTGGTACCAAAATTCCTCCGTCTGAGGAATCCTGTTCCCTCGAAGCAGGCAAATGCCATCCTTCGCCAAGCTTCGCTGAGACTGGTCAAGGAGAGAATAACAGCAGCTAAGAAGAACCTGGCTCATCTCTCCAAACAACTCCTCGATCTTCACCTGCTTCTGGCTCAGAAGTTGGAACCTCAGCTGTGGGAGACTCTTGATCGTGTTACCAATGAACAAGCAGTCCGAACAGCTGAGATGAGAACTGAGAGTCAGAGGGGTAAGTTCAGGAAGTTGATCCCCCAGGAGAAAGTCCCGACCCTCACTCACACTGTGAAGAATCTGAGCACATATGAGCTTAGTGAAGCACAAGTATCTGTGTTGGCAAAAGGACACAACTTCGCTGTTGCCCCCAAAAAGATCCCCACCGAGGAAATCATCAGTCGCACCGAGACAGCGATTTACCATCTTCCTCAGGAGACCAGCAACGAGATCCGGAGAAAGTTGTCCAACATCCTCCACAAGGCCACCCCCCCTAGTGACAATATCACCAGGGAGGAACGCCTTGCACTGCGTAGTCTAAAGGAAAATAATGATTTGATCATTCTTCCGGCAGACAAAGGCAATGCCACGGTGGTTATGGATAAGGACGACTACTCCGGTAAGCTCAGTGCGATGTTGGGTGACTCCAGAGTTTACGTCAAGCTCAGGAAGGATCCTACTCGTACAATTGAGCGAAAAACTGTTGATCTCCTGAAGAAGGCTGGTCTCTCCGCTGACTTGACGAAATTCCTCACTCCTAAAGAATCCTTCCCTCCTAGACTCTATGGACTCCCCAAAATCCATAAAGAGTCTGTTCCTCTCCGTCCCATTGTCAGTAACATTGGAGCGCCAACTTACCAGCTGGCCAAGTTTCTCACGAAACCACTCCAAAAGTTGACTGGCCTGAACGGTTCATACATTCAGAACTCACTAGATTTCGTCAACAAACTTAGAAATCTTCGGACTTCTCCAGATGATATCTTAGTTAGTTTCGATGTAGAATCACTCTTCACTAACGTCCCAATCTCAAAAACCTTGGAAATCATCAAGAATTCCAATAACATTTATTCCCAATTCCTTCCCTTAATTGAGCACTGCCTGACTTCTACATACTTTCAGTTCGAAGGAGAATTCTATGAGCAAAAATCAGGAGCAGCAATGGGTTCTCCCATCTCCCCGATTATTGCAAATATATTCATGGAACACTTTGAGAACGAAGTATTGAAGTCAGCACCTCAGAAACCTTCTGTGTGGTTCAGATATGTGGACGATACCTTTGTCATCTGGCCACATGGGAAGACTGGTCTAACTCAATTCCTGGAGTTCTTGAACAATCAGCACACGAGCATCAAGTTCACCATGGAAATTGAGCAGGACAGATGTCTTCCTTTTCTGGATGTTCTGGTTCGGCGCAACGAGGATGGCACTCTGGGCCACCAAGTATATCGCAAGCCAACACACACAGGCAGGTATCTCAATGCTACCTCCCATCACCACCCCTCCCAGAAACACTCCGTTATCAGCTCTCTCATGTATAGAGCACTTACAATTTCTCAACCCTCAAACGTTGACAGTGAAGTTGAACATCTTGAGACAGCTCTGACCACGAATGGGTATAACATCCAACAAATTCGAAAGGTCAAGCAAAAGCTACAGAGCAAGCTCTCATCTCTCCAAGAGGAGACTGTTCCTGAGGAAAACCAGGAAAGACCTAAAATGGCCCTCCTCCCCTATCTGAGAGGCACAACAGAACGCATCAGCAGAGTACTCGGTAAACATAACATCCGAACGATCTTCCAACCCCCAAAGAAGATCGGACAGATGCTGCCGAGCGCGAAGGATCCAAGACCAGCCTTGAGTACACCAGGAGTGTACGAGATCCCTTGCTCATGCGGGAAAGTGTACATTGGAGAAACCGGGAGGAAGATCAGTACACGGATCAAAGAACACCAGCGGTGCTCCAAATACGGTCACTTAGAACAGTCTGCCCTGGCTGAACACTGGATGGATACTGGACATACTATCCACTACGACCAAGCCAAAATGCTGGCCAAGTCTCAAGGGTATTTCGAAAGGAAATACCGAGAGGGTTTGGAGATCCATAAAAACCCTAACAACCTCAACAGGGACAGAGGATATCAAGTGAACCCCATTTGGAAAACCGTCCTCCCGGTTTTTTAATTGACCAGCTGATCAATTAAAAACATATGATTGGCTGACCCCCCCCCCTTCCCCTTCTCCCACCACCACAAGGGAAGGTATATAAGGACTGCCCCCACACATCGGAGCTCAGAATCGGAGCTCATAGCCCTGAAGATGCAGACTGTAATGTTTGCGAAACGTCGGCGCAATGCTGAAACTCAACGCGGCATCCATCCGGAAGCCAACCACGTCAATTTCCCTTTTGTTCATACTTTTTTGAAAAATCTATCTACCAGTAATATGCTTGTATATTATGAATAATCTGCTTCAGAAATATAGGCAGATTAACGTGTTGAGAATTGACAAAAAAAAGTTCAACAAAACTATAGCACTCAAAATAAATTGAATATCAGCTTCAAGTTCAATAAATAATCCAAAGAATTATGAAAATTTACCGGTTTTTGAATTCTCGGTGTCCGAATTCTTTTGTAGTTCTAATCCTTCAGTCTTGCTCTGACCGACATTAACCGTGATCAGCGTTTTTTCAGTTTCTGTGGAAACCAAATTTGAATTTATCTCCACATGAATGACTGATAGCTCATCAATATTTGTGGGAAATAACCCTGAACTGTTACGCAAACAAATGAACATGTGAGAATATGTGAGAAAAAAAACAGAATATGTTAGAAATTACAAAGAACTAAATGGAAGAATATCGCTATTGAAAAGAACTTCAATGGAAGAATATGAAATAATTCGAATAAAAGATGTCATCATTTGTTGTTGAACGTAAATGCTTTGAAAAAACGTAAATGTTATAATAAAATATCTGAGATTGGGAGAATTTATTTCTAATGATAACTCAAAATAAAATTAAGGTCCGCAAATGCTTCTTCCTATAAATTAAGGGAATGTTATGAATACTACGTATTCATTTCGATGAACTTGAGTAAAAATTGCAAAATAAAAACAAAACTTTGAACACAGTTAAAATGTGACAAAAATTATCGATTAAAAAATCCATAATAAATATTTTCATATTTTACTCTCAAAGAATGCTGGATTGCAATCGAGAATTAGAGATGAAAAGATCAACAAAATAAATCTTCAAAATAAATTAAAAATCTCCGGTGGATCTGATAAATGATCTCATAAATTGTAAAAATTTACCAGTTTTTGAATTCTCAGTATCCAAATGCTTTTCTTCATGTTCATTAGTCTCTGCCTGACCGTCTTCAATGGTGGGCACCGAAACTATTTCATTAGTCTCGGCTACAGTAATATTCGGTATTGACTTGATTCGGTTATCAGGATGAGTGTTCAAATTCGTTTTCTGGAATTCATCCTTTTTCGAACTAGATGGAATCATATCATCGCTTCTTGGAATTTGAGGTTCTCTCAATTTTAGTTCATCCAGCGAACTTTGTGATGACTCTGTTTCTTTTTTAAATTCTAAAAAGAAAAAAATTCGGTGAATTTTACAAGAACTGAATATTATATTAGAGCTGAAAATTTTAGACATTTTGTTTTTAGGTCACTCATTTTCAAAAAAAATCGCCAACTACAACAACTGANTCAAGAATATCGCCTCAGCGGTTTTCTGAATTGTCCAAGAAAACTAGTCAAAAAGTGAAAAAAATTTCTTTTTTTTTTCAATTTTAATGTTTTGCTAGTGAGTAATGAGATCAATTTCTTGTCATCATTATGGATGCAGTTCAGAATTTAACCCATTAGCAGGCGCGCTATGCCGCCTCTCACCATATGATTTACACAGGGATTTTGACCATTAGAGGCACTGTTTCGGACTCCGTGGCCCGACTCCCGAGAGTTTTAACACGTAAAATTTTCAGCCGACTCGAAGAAAATATTTTTTTGCTACTGACCCTTAACCGATACGTGAATTTTATCGACACTGGAGTAAACTAGAAAAGTTACTTGAGGCATTAGAAAAGTTTCATTCAAATATTTTTATTTCTAGGGTATGTTCTCTATACCTTGAAAATTAGTGTGAGAGTTTCACACATAGCGCGCTTGCTTACAAGTTAAAAATTGAAATTTGAAATTTGAGGTTTGACAATTTGATTCCGAATTTGAAATTCGGAATGTGGAATTTGGAATTTTAAATTTTAAATTCAACATTCGAAACAAAATGACCCTAGATAATGTTCGAAAGAGTATACGCCCAGATCCTCAATTGAAAACTTTTGAAAATATACCATCTTTTGCATTTTTGATGTCCAAATCTCCTGTTTTGTTATGTTCTTGAAGTTCAGCCTGATCATTATTAATAGTGGTTGGTGAAGTTACTTGGATATCATTAGGAGGANAAATTGAAATTTGAAATTTGAGGTTTGACAATTTGATTCCGAATTTGAAATTCGGAATGTGGAATTTGGAATTTTTAATTTTAAATTCAACATTCGAAAGAAAATGACCCTAGATAATGTTCGAAAGAGTATACGCCCAGATCCTCAATTGAAAACTTTTGAAAATATACCATCTTTTGCATTTTTGATGTCCAAATCTCCTGTTTTGTTATGTTCTTGAAGTTCAGCCTGATCATTATTAATAGTGGTTGGTGAAGTTACTTGGATATCATTAGGAGGACACCCAGTAGTCTCATCAATTGATTGAGTCTGAGAACTCAAAGCCACCGGTGGGTCCGGGTCAAATTCAAGTTCAAGTTGAGAAGTTTCTGTATTCGATATCCCAGATAATTTTTCGTTTCTCTCTGAAAAAATCAAATCAGCATGAACTTGCACGTTATATAATAACTTATCAATGTTTGCGGAAAATCATCGAAATTGACTACGTAATTCATGGATACATGAAAATAGAATTTGCGATATTTTCGGAACAGATGAATAATGTAAGTTAGTTATTTAATTATTATAAAAAACTTGAAAAAAAGGAAAATCATTTGGTAGGTCATAATCAGGGTCGGAAATTTCATTTTAAAAAACGGTCCATAACCTGATTCAAATAGAGAGTATGGAAACGCATATTAAAAAAAAAATTATTTCGGATGAGTAGTTTTTGAGATATTAAAGAAAATTAGTTTTTTTAAAAATGAAATATCTCCCAAGCTAATTATCCGATTTGACTCATTTTCGATAACAAGCATCATTAGTATGAAAAGATAGTTTCTGCAAACGTTGAAATCAATATTTTGACTTTTAAAGAAATGAGAGCGCGTACAAAGATTTTGAGTGAAAACGAAAAATTAAAATATCACGTAAACTTTATGGGGTGGGCAAAATATATTGAATAATTTAAATAGAGGGAAAAATCTCTAAAACTTTGTATGGGGGCCTATATATGTTTTCAGTGATTTTAATGGAGGACATTAAGACAAAAATTTTGAAAACAAAAAAGTTCAAATTGAATCCATAGTTTTCGAGATATTTGCAAAAAAACGATTCAGAAACAAACGCCTATTTCTCAAAAATGGCTGGACCGATTCATTTAAAATTGGGCGCAGAGTTAGTTCTTAGTACAACCTATAATCTGACGAAATTTTTGGATTTTCCGATTCACTTTAGTCAATTATATATCTATTTTTCTAAAAGTTAAAAATCACCTTGACCAAATTGACCACCCGATGCGACAGACACGATGCTCAAATTTTATATTTTGACGTTTCAGACGATTCTACATCATTTTCAAGTAAAATTCGAGGATCGAGAAATTGAACGATTCCAATGCTTTCATTCGTAAGCACAAAACGCCAAGGTTTAATGTTCAGACACGAAAAAAAATAAGTCCACCAAAAACTCTTATAATTCTACGAAAAATTTTCGAAATTGCCTTTCAAGATGATATATCGATTTTTTAATTGATTGGAGGGAACAATGTAGAATGAAAACGTTTTACCCCTCAAATTTAAGTTTATTCAATAATTAACCTATTCAGAATGAGATTTTAATTCATAATCACGGCAAGAATTAGTTATTCATTGGGATGAAAACCCTAAAAAAAATGTGAAATTATCAATTTACAACATGCCGAAATCGGCATATAATCACTCTTAACAATTGATCCAGTGGATGGATATAAGAAAGATATACGCCATTTCGGAGAACTCGTCAAGATCTTTGAATTGGTGTATAATTAATTCCTATGAATCAAGTACAAATCCCGATAATAGATAAAAACCTCAATTTTTCATGTGTGACATAACAGTGAAAAGAGAAATAATCCTCAATGACTTTATTAAAATGACATCAAATCGTACTATCCACAGCACAATTTAAAGCACAAAAAATACTCTTCAATATGATATATCGATTTTTCCCTTACATTAACTCATCAATTGCCCCTGAAGTTGTTGAGTGTATAGAAATTAAACAACTACTAAAAATTATCACATTCATTTGTAAATTATTAATATGAATTATATAAAATTTGATGAATTTCCCAAAGAAACATGAGCAATACGTGAGAAATTCAAAACTTCATATTTTTAGCTCATTAACATTCAATTCAACTCACGTGATAGGGATTGAACCTCTTCGGTCTTAGAAAGTCTTATCCTTGGCTCTCTATTAATCAAATTTTCAGCAACTTGACTCAAAAGTCCTTGATTATCTGAAAAACATATTAATCAAGACATAAAAGTAATATGGATGTGACTGGTGAGAGAATTCAGAAAGTATTACTTAATTTATTTTCTGTAATGGATATATATATACAATGGTGAAGTTATCAAAGGAACCATGTAGCGTAATAACTGTTACCGAATTAACCAGGTGGAGTTAAATAAGATGTTAAAGATGAAATAAACTATGGTAATGGTATATATATACAGTGGTAAAGTTATCAAAGGAACCATGTAACGTAATAACTGTTACCAAATTAACCAGGTAAAGTTAAATGAGAAGTTAGAGATGAAATAAACTATGGTATGCATCAAAATTGATTATTATGGTTTGAGGATTACTTACCGTGTAAGGNGATCGAACAAGAATGAGACAGTCACCAATCGCAGTGTTTCAAAGCCAAGTATCGACCAAGTCTCGGAGTAAAATCGAAAAAAANGTATATATATACAGTGGTAAAGTTATCAAAGGAACCATGTAACGTAATAACTGTTACCAAATTAACCAGGTAAAGTTAAATGAGAAGTTAGAGATGAAATAAACTATGGTATGCATCAAAATTGATTATTATGGTTTGAGGATTACTTACCGTGTAAGGTAATGACAGTAGCACTAACTGTGCGACGTTTTTCTTTAAAGAAACACTCATTGTCACTTTTCCTTGTAATTTTTTTAACAGAGAGGACGACGAACTGATTATTACGTTTTTTCAACAGTGCGTACATGGTGGTTTTTTCATTATTTTAATTCCTGTCGAAGTCACGGAAATTATTCTCATTACACTTTTCTTATTTGTGGAGTAAATAAAGCNTAAAACAAAGTATAGTCCAAGTCTCGTAATAAAATCGAATAAAAATAATTCAAAGTACTTTCACTCAAAGTAGCGATAATACCTCGTAATATTATGGTAAAAGTATGAGGCAGGTATCGGACAGAATATTNATTATTTTAATTCCTGTCGAAGTCACGGAAATTATTCTCATTACACTTTTCTTATTTGTGGAGTAAATAAAGCCACAATGGAAAATTTTATTACGATCAAACTCACGAAATAACAATACCCGCCAAATACTGAGGAAAACATTAAAACAGTGCTAGCATACGGTAATAATCGAAAGTCCTAGCCCCAAAAACTTAGGGATAAAATAGTGGCATCACTTGGGGATGGGTGCAACAGGTGTGATGTCTTGACGTTGAAATTTATAGATGGCGCTATTAATCGGCCNTCAAGTCTCGGAGTAAAATCGAAAACAAATATTTCAAAGTATTTTCAAGCAAAGTATCGATGATACCTCATAATATTATGGTAAAAGTGTGAGGCAGGTATCGGACAGAATATTAATATGTCAAGTATCGTAAGAACATCGTCAATCAATCGAACAAAAATGAGACAGTCACCGGTCGCAGTGTTTCAAAGCCAAGTATCGACCAAGTCTCGTAATAAAATCGAATAAAAATAATTCAAAGTATTTTCACGCAAAGTATCGATGATACCTCGTAATATTATGGTAAAAGTATGAGGCAGGTATCGGACAGAATATTAATATGTCAAGTATCGTAAGAACATCGTCAATCAATCGAACAAGAATGAGACAGTCACCGGTCGCAGTGTTTCAAAGCCAAGTATCGACCAAGTCTCGGAGTAAAATCGAAAAAAAATAATTCAAAGTATTTTCAAGCAAAGTATCGATGATACCTCGTAATATTATGGTACAAGTATGAGGCAGGTATCGGACAGAATATTTAAATGTCAATTATCGTAAGAACATCG